CTACCACCATGATAGTGACTACCAATTATACAAAAAGCACATCCCGGGTCACTTTCGCTGTTATCGCTGCAGTTTTCGACAAATTTTAAATAACACATCAAGACTAAACCCAACACCACTATGCCAGCTAGTATTCCAAATATTATTAGAAGCTCATCAGGGAACGACATGTTATGCTCTTCTATGTTTCGCTGGAAGTTCTTGGATCCCTTTTTTCTTCGACGGCTATATTGCTCTTAGTCGGTTTTTTGAAAATCAAAGATTTTCAGTTCTTCTTGTTGACGGCCTTTCGACTCAGCAGAAAAGATAAAGAGAAGTCAAACCAACTGCCTTTGCCTCGAAGCTAGCTTGCAGGTAAATTTGCGGCAGACAACGTTCATTCTGGCGTGTGACAAATAAAGTTGCTCTCAAACCACTGACTGAATATCTAAATTCTTCTTAGTTATGCGAATTGAAGAAATCGAGTTTTCCCTTTACATCCGTGCAAGTGGTTTTCAACACACTGCTTTGTGTGTACTCTGAAGACGTTAAGTCGTCACAATGTTAGACGTGAATGGTAAATGACATACTAAATTCAAATGGAAGCATTTATGCCTGCAAATTCGCTATTTATAGTATTATGTCATTTCTGTTGTAATTGTCATTCAAATACGCACGAGCTATGGGGGAAAAACACTTCAGTTCGACAATAGCAAAGCCAAGTGCAAATGTCAAGGAGCCAGGTTTTCCTTCCCCCAATCTCTATGACTCCAAAAATTCATTCTACCATTTATTTTCTCCAAAAATATATCGTAGTCCATTAGAAGTCAAAGCATAGCGAGTTTGTTATATAGTTTTATGATCAATATATAATAATTATTGTTAATATGAATAATTATCGCCGGTTATCATCAGTTTTCTGCTTTCATATGATGATATATTGTTATAATCATTATGCATAAAAAAAATAATATTTAACGTCGATGTCAAGGAAAATCACTGAAGAGATATCACTTAAGAACCCGTTCCTCATCGCTACCCTCAATTCCCGTTTGTCCAACTTCCCGGAAGCGGGCTATCGAAGGCTATCGAAGAACGGAAGTTGGACAAGTCTTATTTTCAAATGCAAACTTTTTCTCTTAATCATACTTGGTCTTATCTTTCTTTAATTTCTTTCTTTTTTTCCTTCCTTATTGGAATAAATTGAGGCAAATTATACACGACTTTCATAACTGGCTGCTGCTAATTTGCATAAACATTAAAAATCAATGTTTTTTCGGAGTGAAAACCCTTTTAAATCATTGATCTTGTTGATCTAGATAAGGCGTGTGAGTTTCTACTTAAATTAATACATCCTTTACAAGATGTGAGCATTTGAAGTTTTGAAAATACACCAAAACGAGGCCACCAAGGCTTCCAGTGATAAATACATACAAAACTCTCTATTTTCGTTCTTTCATAACGTCTTTGGTATGCAGTCAAATTCTACAAAATTTTCTGGAAATAGTTTTCGTCAAGTATTTTCTCAGATAGTATTAATAGTTTCTGGTAAAAAGGCTTCATTTACTCTATCTGAAAAAACTGAGTTATGAAAGTCGTCTATTGCTGCTTAAAAATGGTTTTTCCCCACTACTTCCAAGCTTTCGACCTACGCAGTTATCATTACAGCAGAGTAGAAATTATATCATAAGGGACCGGTCATTACTTAACGGGGGGAGGGAGGGGGTCACTAATTTTGGTCAGTAAAGGTGTTCAAAAAAATGTGACGCTACCGAAAAGTTATGGTTTAAAAATTTGTAGCCTTCCCCATTTTAATGAGCCAAAAATCAAGACCCTCCCCCTTGAAGTACTTATAGAAAAAAACAACGGAAAATGCTATGATATATATAAAATACCCCCCTTATATACACATTTATGCCTGAGACAACGAAATCGAGTTTAAAATACATTATTAATAAAGGGATTTTTCTTTCCACGTTCGACACGTTCTTCCGGATCGTGTCGTGAAAACTGAATGTCCTCGCCAGCAGTCTTTCTGCTTAGTATATCATTCTCCCCATCATCAATATCACTTTCATCACTGTTTTCGCCAATTTCTTCAATCACTATATCGTCATCTTCAACATCCGTTTCCTCATCTTCCAGTTCTTCCTCTTCTGTATCACATTCTTGGAAATTTGCGACAATTGATCTTGCTTAAGTGTACCATGGGGTAGTTGATTTGGTGTTTCTCAAGATATAATTCAAGGCTAGCCACTTTCAATTTCTTTTTGCCCTCTCGATAAAGCATGACCCAGTTATAGCCATGGACGTTTTTCTGTTTCTCTTGTTCTTCCAAGGATTTTCTTGACTCGTTTCTCTTTGTAGCGGGATATTTACTTTTAAGTAAATTAGACTTCTTAAGTATCAATATTAGATCTCGACATTCCAGTAGTTTGCTGTATCATCATTCCTGATATAATACTGACTCTTAGGGTGTTCATTATTCTTAAGTTTTCGCGATTTGACCAGTAATGCCTATATATTTATTGCTGACGTCCAACTATAAAGTCCCAAATAGTTTGTTTGCGACAGAGTATTCTTACCCACCTTAAAAGCCACCACCACCACCGCAAACACCACCACCACCACCACCACCACTATCGCAACCTCCAGCGTGACCAAAGGCCGTAGTATCACCAATACTAACAACAAAAGCACCAGCGTTCGCTCCATTTACAGCCCCTGCATTTCTTATGCCGCTGCCTCCTTCGCTACATATGTTACCATCGGTCCTTTTGAAGAGACAGATAAAAATCATAACGGCAACAGACATTACGACAAAGATTATGACAAAGACTGGAATACCGCCTCCCATGATATGTTCTCCTATGTGTAACGCCGGAGGTACTTTGATCAGTTAGCTTCCAGTCTCTTCAAGCCCCTTTTTGGCGACAATATTTTTTAAAGTTCTTAGAAGTTCGTTGATGGCTTTGAAAGAGTATCGTATAATACGAGTCAAACCAGTTCGTTTCCTTTGCCTAGAAGCGACCTGACAGTATGCAGGTAAATTTCAGACAACGTCCGGGACTCTTGAGAGAAATAAAGATGTTCTCGAACCAAAGTAAATATCTATTTAAATCCTTAGATGAGAAGAAATTGATTTTTCAACACGCTGCTTTACATTTGACTGATCACAAATTTGAAGACGGTGCACAATTTATGCGTAAGATATAATGTTTTGTTTGTCTGTAAACCTATATTTAGAATTTGTCGTGTCACTCTTAATGAATGGGTTTTCCGACTTAAAGTACATTTCCGATCTATTCCAGCCCATGTTCGCGTCAGGGCCCGTTAACAAATGTTTTCTTTCTTTTTTTTAAATTACATGTTCGAATTTGTGGCTACCTGCCTGCGATCGGTCACCGCAAAATCGGCAAAATTGCTAGTGTAAACGGGCCTTCATGTTGATACTAATACCGGAATCCCGGCTTTTAAATTACAGAACTACACCGTATTGAAGACCAGACGACAAAAGACGACATTTGAATTATTCAAAGTAAATTAATTCATATCAATCTCATGTCCGCAAATCCGCTATTTATAGTATTACGTCATTCCTGTTGTTATTGAAATTCAAATAAGGTATGGGAAAAACACTTCAGTTCGCTAATATACCTTTTTACTTTGGGCGTAATGTTTTCCCATTTCTTTTGGGAATAAAATTCTTTGTTTGAGTTTTATCCATATCCAACCGTTAAACAATGAAAAGATACTCTAGGGAATGACACGTGGTCTGAAATGGGAAAACATTACGAACAAGCTAAAAAGGTCTAGCTATTGGCGAACTGAAGTGTATGTCTTGGAGCTGGAGTTTTTGCCAATGCTGTTACTACAGCAACGAGTCTTCTGGACGAATATAAAAGAACTTTATTCCAGCTAGTATATGTTTTTTGTCAAAAATCAAACCATAGTCAAGTTTGTTGCGTAATTAAAGAAGAGAAGTTGGACCAACCAAGCATTATTTGATTGACATATTCCCCTCCTATTCATATACTCGATGTTATATTTCTTATATCTGCCGTTCCCTTAACTATTAAACACGAAATTCAGTACAAAGATCTTTTATACTGAAATACGTGCGCGCATGTCAAAGAGACTGAATAATACAGACCAAACTGAACCAAGCAACAGTCGATCGAAAGATCTTAAAATACAACCAACTGTATACAGATTATAAATATCGAGTAAGCGATTTTTGGCTTACGCAAAGCCGTGCAAGGCTGCACGCTTGAAGAATTGCGTTACCCGTTACATTTCAAGTCATCACGCCAGCTAAAAATGCTTAGCATGGGCATTCCTGTGGTCAGGGAAACGAGCACGCAATTTGGAGACTGGGAAACGATGCAAAGAAAAGAGGGATCGTATAGCAGGGGTAGGAAGGACACTGAAAGGACCACAAGGACTGAGGCAAGTCAAAGAGAATTCGCACAGAGAGGAGATTTTACTTACTTTACTTGATTCGTGAACTACTACATGATTCATTTTTGTTGCATTCCAAAACTTCAAGCTACAAGGATCGAAAAGGATCGACGTATAGGTTGTAAATTGGCAAAATAAAGTAAAGTTAAGAAAGTCGTCTCTAAGAGTATATATCTACGAAAGAAACAGTACTTTGTCTGCGCCAGTTTGTCCATGTATAACTAAGTTAATATTTGTTGTCACATAAATTAGCGTCCAAACATCATTGACAGGCTTTTGTTGAAATTGCATAATAATCACAGAATCTCGTATGTCGACTAATTTGTTCAATGCACGTTGGCTAATAAGTAAAAAGAAAGTATTACAGCATCAAAGAAGCCAAGTCTTAAGGATAAACTATATAATACAGGTTATCCAAGTTAGCAGAGGCTGGGACTTTTTTTTGCTGAGGTAAGTTACATCGGTCACTAACAGAAACCGTACGCGTTCAGGGTATTTCAAAAGCGCTGTGTCAAGCCCAATTAAGAGAATAACTCATCAAGTGCATTTCTTTGCACACTGTTAATCCTAGATTATATTCTAGAAGTTTTCGTTCAAAAAAAATGGAATTTTTTCGCCAAACAAATCATAAGTAAGATGTAACTAACTGAGGGGACTCTAGGCTTGGAGGATTGTCACGAGGTCGTTGTTACTTGACTAATTTGGTGTTTTCTAGCATTCCAATGTGACCAAGAAAACAAATCAATTGAGTGACTAGTTAAGAAAAAGATCCAAGAAAACTAAACTGGAATAAACCCGAGTTCTCCAAGTGGAGATCGAAATCACAACGCGCAGGGATTTTTCCGTCATATTAGACATATTACTAAGCCTTGAATCTTAGCTGTGTATGTCTTTGGATTTGTTCCAGGATTATCGCGACACTGGTCTATGACAACATACCAACATCTTGGCAAGCAGAGGGAATAGATATCTTGTGAGCTATTAAAAAAAACAGCTACGGAGTGGAAAACAGCAGTTAGTGCAACTTTCATTGAAGTCTCAACCTGACTACCAATATAACTGCCTTAAAACTTAAGGTTGCAGCCGGATTGATATTGGGATACATATAACTGATGCGGCTGACTATTCGATAGGATTGACTACTGACAGAGGTTTTGGAAGCCAAGCTGCCGGCAGCCCTACTGACACTTTTTATTTCAGTTATAGTATCATTACTCTGAAATAATATTCAATAATTTTCCACAGGAATCATTCAAATTAAGTTGCAACATCAATCAAATATCCCAAAGGATATTGATAACCAAGAAGACTGGGTAACATGCATTGATGAATTAAAAGAATTTGCTGAGATTTACATTACAGTTTCAGCACCAAAGATTTAAAAAAGGCACTAAAGAGACAGCAATCCATCCAGAAGGAGACTTGAGATCTGCCGGAGGCCGCTACACAAAAATGCATCGCTTGGACGCCGCCTCCTTTGTCTTCGTTTTTGCCTTCTGTGCTATCATTGGATTAACTGTAGTTGGCTTCATGATATGTGTCCTCTGTCCATTGGAAAGAATAAGGGATTTTTGTCTTCGATTTGCTTGTAAAGAAAAAGGAAAGATCATATTCCAAACAAGGCGCCGCATGATTCAGGTAGAACCAGAACAAGAATCGGAATCGGAAAACAGGAATAGGAATGCATACTTTAGGAATGATGATTCTATAGCAGAGGTGATATAATAATATGCTGAAGGCGTATGCCACATGGAAGGACAAATGGTGATCAACCGGGCCGTAACTAGGGGGAGCACAGGGTGCATTTGGACCCCCCATAAAACCTTAAGGTCCGCTCATCCATCTCCTTTTTTTTTCCGGTTCTGCTTTCTTTTGGTTACCTCTTTTTTTCTTTTTGGTTCTGCACCTCCCTGCAAGATCCCTAGTTACGCCACTGAGTTAGTAATAAAAAAACGATCAATGGTCCGATTTTATTCGATGTGCACCCTCCCTGTAAAAGTTCTGGTTACGGCCCTGATCAACGCAGTTAGACACCCTCATGGAAAACAGGTTGTAAACAGTTCCATTATTATTTGTTAACACTGACTGATCTAAGTGGGGCATGGGTACATCAGTATTCAATGGATTGTGCTATATGGTCCCGTGTGTTTCCTGGATAAATGTCTCAGTATTCACTGAGCTGCTTCAAAACATTTATTTCGTACCGCAACGTACTTGAAACGTCGTTGTAGTATCTGGCCAATTGACAAGCACTTAGCCGGAGAAACTAATCCAATTGGGTATACGTAGTATCTCAAGGAAAACACGTACATATGCTACTGTTGCAGTTAGTTATGAGGCTTCTATGTACTTATTGACTGAGTGGGAGGGCCGTACGGGAAAATATTTGGCTCGAGGTGATGCCGTACGAATGACCGAGAGCCAAAAATTTTCCCGTACGGCCCGACCTAACTCAGTCAATAAGCATTTCATCATATGACCCTCACGAAAAGAAAAATAATAAAAGAAAAGAAAGAAAATACGGTCGCAGATTTTTTAGCAGGGCCGTACGGATTCGTAAGGCCCTGCTCACGCCATTTTCCCGAAGGTTTTTTTTAAGAGCGCGCGCCCGGGCAGATACGGGTCATATGATAAGTATATATTATTTAAGACATCGTATTTTTGTTATCATGCTACTTCAAAATAATCTACTATTTTCTTAATGGGAAGTTTACCCAATAGTATGGGATGTGCTATGCACACATACTTAACTTTTCTTGCTCGTAGGCGTTTCATGTATGTAAATATTGTATTCTTTTTTTCGGCGCCCGCGTGTATTTGGGCCCAGACAAAAAGATCTTTAAAAAGATAACATTTTGTCGGAGACCGAAAGAATCGCGGGCTCGTGGAAAAAGAAGGACTGTGGTTTTAACCGCCTTGACGTCAATCGGTGTTCTTCAACAGACAATAGTTTATATAGACACTGAGAGATCAAGATTTATCAACAAACCGTTAATGCGACACCCCCTCATTGTCTATCTTAAGAGCAACAGATTAAAGGTATTTTGTCTTTGAATATGTGTTGACATTGGGAAGAAAATGGAACAAAAAAGCGACAACCGTGCAATAACGAGATTAACTTGAAGACGGCAAAATAAAATTATTAAACCTTAATAAAACCAACCGAATATGACTAAATTTATAGATATTGGAATGATATCGATTTGTCGAAAGCCAATAATACAATATGCAGCTCCCTTATTAACATTAGAGTAAAAACATTGTATCAGTGATGAAAATATATGCATATTGACTGAGTTATATATATATGAGTACTTTTATGATAAAATTGAATTATACAAAGTCTGATTCATATTATATTCAGGGATTTTTAGAAGTTCATTTATGTTTTTTAATTGATTAGCCACAATATCGAGTGCGCCCGAAAATGACTGAAGGTTTTGTCCCTCATTAGACAGTTCCAGACCAGATTTAAACCTCTGTTTGGTTACTTTGACTACAGAGTCAATAGAAACTAAAATTGAAAAGCTTTAATGTCAAGGTAGGCTTATGCACGTACTGTATTAGAATGAAGTAAGGAAGGTCGACCGCTTGAAGAAGACGACATCAAAAGAAAAATCAAGGCCGCGAGTGCGGAAGCGATGATGAAATTATTTCTCACCTCTTCTCCGCGATAAGAAAGGAGCTGAAGGAAATCCCTATATCTTCTTCGATCTTCGGTATTTTTGCGTTATTCATCATCCACCTGTCGTGTTGACGATTACGTCTAAGATATCGATGAATTATTCTTCAAATGAGAACGTGTTATCTGCCTTTTAAGTCTTTCTGGAAATAAGTCGTCTGACAAAAAAACGGCGTGTATAAACTTGAATTAATGCCAGTGAAGAAACTTTGTTCCATGCAGCAAAAGCTTTTTTGAAAAATTACTGAAAGGACTGAGATTCAAGCGACAGAAAACTCTTGACGAAAGAGGTTAGGCTTTGTTCAGTCAAGTTGACGTCGCGAGAATTGACAACGCTGGCGATATAGGCTTCAAAGTAGTTCAGCAGGAAGTAACGTTCTACAATTGACACAACTGAAAAAAGAGTTCAGAAAGAGTCAGTTATCTCTTGGCATTTTAAACCATCCTCCACCATGGCTTACAAGCATATTCCTTTGTATTTTCTAATTGCAACGTTGGGTTTTGTTGGGCTGTTTATCTTATGCTGTATCGCTAATATCTTGTGCCCGTATGAAAAAATACGCCAAGCCTTTGTCTTGTGCTGGGGATACGAGAACCACGAAAGACAAAAGAATATGAAACAACGAAGGAAACTAATAGAGGAAGATGAAGAGGGGGGAGAAGAAACATTCTACCTTAAATACACAAGAACGCATCTTATCTAATGACTTAATTTTTATGAATATTAAACTGGCTCATAAACACACTTTGCCATACTGGTACATGTACAGGAGTTATAAAGATTTTGTTTCAAGAAATTGTCAAATTGCATCGTGAGCTAATTGACTGGTAATTTCTTTGTCGAGGATGCCGAGCAAACCGGCAGAAAATTTAAAATCGCCATAAACTTTCATATCATCATGATAAACTGGCTGTTATCAGGTACGTTGTAGTAACACTTTAGTCTGAATTTCACTGCGTTCAGTTGAACGAGACATGATAGCGAGTTCGTGATCGGTTCTCGACGTTCAGAACCAGTAATTAATGATCGTGAATTACGTACAGCCTATGGAATTTAACGGCAAGAAAACTATTATTATAATCAGCATGGAGTTGTTACTGATCATGAAAAAACCTGCTACCGTGAATGATCAAAAACACGCAAAGTACATTAGTTATGACTGCATCAGTCAAGTGCAACTTAACGAGGAGGAAGTGCAAGTCAACGAGGATCAATCTCAGCAACCCTATTATAAGTATTAAAGGAGAATAACAGTTACTTTCGAGTGGTTACAACAAAACCAGCTGCCGTGAAATAAAACTGAGGAGGTATGACGAGAGACACGGAAGCTAAGAATGGCCACGTGGAAGTTATTAAGGTGTCCATGACTGAAGAAATTTACGGGGACAATATTAACAGCTTACTGCATTGGTTTTGCGCAATTCACGAAACAGTGTATGTACTCCTTTAAAAATGGCCTATAGGTCCTATATCTACATATGAGTTGGATATGAGTGAGGTCAATTAGTATAGATTACTAAAGAAAGAAAGACCATATGTAAGACAACATCACCTGTCACTAGGAAAAGGCAAATCCATTTCTGGTTAGTTTTCTATAGAGCCCATCAATCATCCCTTTTTTGTACTTTATTGGTAGCTTATGTCCTTATTTTAAAACATCAACTATGTACATCATGCGCGCATTGCATCGTTGTGTAGAGATCATGATAATATGCACAACTGGTTATTTCAATCCGTACCAAAGATTTTTCAATTAAGAAAAGCCGGATTAATTGATTTTTGTTAAATTTACTTTCAAAGAAATGTAACATTGAAAAAGGCTTGAGAAAATTTCATAGTGAAATTGCAGAAGCTTTGAATACTGTCTAATTATCTCGTTATGGGATACCTGTTTCTTTTAATGATTATGACATCATTCTAGCCTCACTTCCATTTTAGCGTTGCCATGGAGATTTTGACAGAGCCCAAAAAATTTCGAGAGTTTGAGACGTGCTGACCGATTGCTGTTAAAAAAAGATCTTAAAAGCTTTTATCTGTATTAAAATATTGAAAACCTCTGCTCATTCCAAGGTCACAAAGGTAAGTAGTACAATTTTAATTGCTAGAATTGGGGGAAAATACCACTTTGAGTGTTTTTTCATCGCCTCGGAGAACATGAAAGACAGCCGGAAATACGATCACAACAATTTTTGCTGACATAAGCTTATTTATATAAATCTAAAATATCTAGAAAACCTCAACCTTCAATAAAAATCTATTGCATCATTAATGAACTTTGGATTAAGAAATCTTTAGTAGTGTTTACCGTTCATATTTTCGGCATTTTGGTTCGTAATTAATGGATTACTTACTGACACCACAGTACATCATCATTGACTTTTGAACGTTGGTCAGTAAGCTTAAATCTAATACGCTTGATAACTCAAACGGTAAATACTTAATTAAAATTGCATCCTCTGATAAATAATCTTTGAATTCTTACCCAATTCATAACACTAAATATGGGTTTGGAATTATTGTGTTGATCGACCTTTCAAAGAAGCCGTCTGCAAGTCTGTTCCAGCTATTGTTCGGTTTTTTATGGTTCGGTTTTGTCTGCCTCTTTATTTGTGTTAGACTGAAAAGCATAAAAAATATTTTTTATTACGAATATGAGAAGAAAAAATATATATATGACTTATGAGCCACATCGAATGCTATATCAAATTTACTAAAATTGCTTTGATTTTGGAGTAAAACAGAATTTTTTTTAAAATCCTGTGGCCCAGAGAGCAAATTCAAAATGCATTCCTTTCGTGACAAAGTTCAGTTTTTATCTATTTTATTTACTTTCCTGATATAAAATATCACTATTTAAATTCCTCCTTTTCTTTAAGTGATTGCAAGATCATTGAAGTCATGAAATCATGTTTAAAGGAGGCGGAAACTGGATAAGGAGATCACTTGACCAGTCTCATTTCCGACCAGTTTAGAGTTACCACAGGCAGCCCAATTGTCATGCAATTAAATAAACACGCAAAAAAACATAAACAAAATACAATGTTATAAAGGTTTTTTTAAAAAAGATTAAAATAACAGAATCTTGTGAGAAACGATCAGATTTGGAATTTCCGAAAAATTTACAGACAGCCCATTGTGAAAAATTTATATCGATATTGGGCATTCCACTCCGCATGTCTTTTCGTTCGTTGCAAAACAAACTGAGTCATACAGTTTCATTAATTTTTCATTTCGAAACTGTTGACAGACCAAGAGGGAATGTAAGGTTAAGGTAACAATCAATATACGTCCTCAATCAAACTATTTTATAGCTGATTCAAATGGCGTCCTTCATATGCCACATGGCTGTTGAAGGTCAAATATCGTTTTTGTCTACACTTACATCATCAAGTAGAGTTAAAACCTATTCAAACATAGGGTTTTAGCTTTTTTCTTTTTTCATTTCTTTGATCAGTTTCCTATTTTTTCTTATTTTTTCTTTGTTATTTTGACTTTTTGGCGTCCTTTCTCAATTAAAAGATTATTATCTTTTCATTTAAGGCAGCCGATTTATTTTCATACTGACGCCATGTTTATATTTTTCATGTTTCTTTGTTCAACCTTTGTCAAAACAAACTCAGTTTTTAATTACACTTTCGTTTTATCGGTTGAGTGACCCTGACTAGTGCTGTTTCGTGACACTCGTAGTGTTATTCATTGTTTGGGCTTCCTGTTGAATTGAATACGTGACCATTCATGACAAAGAGACATGTAGCTCAACAGCTCCTGACAACTCCTCACTCCTCAACGGAATGGAAATTGTCAGTTTTTATTGGATTTTTATTAGTCCAACTCGATAAACTGGGTTGCCTTTGGACTTACTCAGGTGGGTCTGGTGATTGACAAACATGTGCCCGAGTGTGAGTTGTACGTTTGGTAACGCACGAAATCTTTGGCGTACGTGTTTGATAATATTAACATCTTTGATTATGATTATATCTAGGGCAGCCAAACAGGAATTGTCAGTATGAAACTCGGATGAGAGGCTGTAGGTTCTCAAACCAAGAAGCATGCTAGCGCCAGCTGATGTCGTGGCCGAGGCGAGAGAACATAGTGTTAATCTGTGCTCTATAGGGACAGTAACACAGTTATGCGCCCAGGTGCCAGCCGAAACAAGAGACTCAAATTGCAAAGGAAGAATGAAAAGTCTTCTTCTTTTGATTGGATTTATGTGCATTGTCAGTTGCTTCGTATTTGCTTCCATGGGCTACATCGAACTCAAGAGTTGTCCTCCTGGTTCAAAAGAACCCGATACTAATAATTGCAAAGAAGACTCGAGCCAGTTTAAACTGGCGCAGAATTATAGACTATCTGCGGCTCTCCTTTTCATTTTAGGCATCTGTATTATCGTAGTATTTATATGGATGGTGAAAAAGGATAATCGTGGGCAACAGTATGTTGTTAGGACGGACGTTGTCGTGTCCGATGTGACAGAAGAAGGCTTGCTAAAAACACCAGCTCCTGAACTACCCCATCCTCGCTCTCAACTCCATCGTATAGTATACGAGGAAATATCCGAATCAAGTCAAAACGATTTGCCACACTACGAATCTGCTTTAAAACTGAATAAAGAAACAAATCAGAGAAGACCTAGCGTTACATGTTCGTGCGAAATGCTCAGCCTTAAGGGTGTTGTTATGGAAAGTGTAAGCGTTCAGGTTGACGAGGACGATATAAACCCTCCACCTTCGTATTCTCAGGCTTTATTACATGAAGTAGATGAAGGACAAGAAAACTTAGAAGAACGAGAAAACTTAGAAGGGCAAAATCACGAAGAACTAGATAATGGATGAGTAAAAAAAAGTCACGTTGACAATGGGATAAAAGAATAAGCGAATGGCGTGCGATCACGCTGCTGATCACGTGATAATGTCACCTCACCGCGTGGCAGCTCAAGGTCTGGGTTATGGAATAACATTATTCATGAAAGAATGTTTTAACCTAGGATCGAATAACATCGTCTGACACATTTGAAAAACAGATCAAGTATTTGATGGTTTCATTTGTGGCACGACAGAAATTTAAAGAAATCATGAAGGAGAAAAGTGGTGTTACTTGGATAGAAAAAGAAGGAATCAAAACTCTGTATTGTTAATACAGCATAATTCAAGCCATTAAATCAAAACAAAAAAACTTAATTAGCTATTGATTATGGCCAATATTTACTAATGGTTATTAAGGCCATGACTTTCTACGCACGTACTGTAGAATAAGGTTTGCCATCTTTGAATTTTTCTTTACTTTCTAAGCTACTACCGAATATATCAAAAGCTGTCTTCAGTTGATATGGAAATAATTTCTTTATAAGGATCCTTTTAGAAGACAAAACAAACCCCACAAGCATCAACAGAAAATAATATTGAATCAAAGCCAACTGAGCTCTCTAAAAAAAATTTTTTTAACTTTTCAGTGTATAATAGAATTGAATTTGGAAAACGTTATTTGGCAAGTGATGAGCTCTCTAAAAAAATTTTTTTTTAATTCTTCAGTGTAGAGTAGAATTGAATTTGGAAATAGTTATTTAGCACACAAAAAAAATTATTTATGTGGATATATAGAAATGATTTGAGATTTTCTTTGAGCCCAGTTTCTTGTCGGTATTTATTAGTTATGATTTTGGAAGAGAGAGAAAAAATAATGTAGAAACTGGAGAAAGGGAAAAAGCTATATTATGCAATTGAAATGTGAAATTAACTGAATGAAGTATTTTTCAATCTTTAAGTTTTACACAAGGGAAGCTTTCAAAAAGCAATTTAATTAAGTGTTTTAACAGAATGCATGAATTGAGCTTTTCTGCTTTCATACTAGCTAACATCATCTATTGTATCAATGCATTCGTGATTTTAATAAGCAGTTAGGGGTATAACAGGCATATTTCCAGAAAATATATTTCCAGTTTTAGAGTTCTGAAAAACGTTTTTAAAAGCTGCCAGAATTGCAACATTTGTGGTCAAAAACACACATTGATGTATATGGTTATGACTACTGCTTTTTGAAAGTAGGATGGATAAAATGAGGTATGATCTTTATACATATTTAAGATTTGATTAGAACTGTGGAAAACTTTCTTGGAAAGATAGCTTGGAAATAAAATTTTAAGGAGTATATATAAATCTTTTCAACTTTTCTTGTTACTATCTTTTTCATAAGGTGTAAGTTCCCCTATAAGCAGTTACAAAATAACAGTGACATTTTTGGGTGGATCTAATAATTTTCTGGAATTAAGTCCCATAGTCTAATCAAAATGCCTAATAATTTTCATGAAGGGTCTGACCTTGGTTGTTTATCCGATTTAAAAGGATATCTATTTGTATAGGTAATAGGACTACATGCTGTCCAATTTGCAAATAATTGGATGAAGAAGAAAAAAAGAAAAATCCGAGGACTGACAAGATTGGAAGAGGCCGATAAGTCGATTCCAATTTGGCAGTCAGAGGAATATTTTGAATTCAATTATTTCCAAATGTAGTCCTGTTGCAGATTAATTATATTATCCAAAACTATACTAGACTGATTCCATAAGTCATAGTTTTCCCTTGAAAGAATGCGAATGGAAACGATCCAAATTTATCTTTCATTTAGACAGGAAAGACAATTTATTTGAAGTTAATACAATAGTTGCTTATATGGGATTATASAGTGATGATACAATTAATAATTTAACTGAACCCCTTTTTAACCACTCTTGATTAATACAGTCACACTGAACTAGTATCCATCATGCTGTTGATATTTGGAAGTGATTCTCTGTCTTTAGTATTCATAATGTTCATGCTTGAGAAATTTAGAACCAGGTTCCTACATTGCAGGATCTTCCATTGACTTTGTAAGTATAACGTACTTGTTGAAACCTCTATGTAAATAGTTCTCTAATCTTTTTACGACACAAGTTAATCTTTTCCATTGTTGTTGTCTTCTTGCTGAGCAGTACGTGCACGATGAACTGTACATGTACAAAATATTACTTTTGCTGGTGAACAGTTTGGAATCTTGTATAACCTCAGATGACGTACTAGTCTATCTAAAAGATAGTATTTTTCCATAGTATTTCAATCAGGTTATGCGCCTTCTAACATCTATGTTCTATATATGTTGTTGATGCTGTTGTCCGAAAATGAAATTTTGTATGACCTCGGATGATGTATAAGTCTATCTAAAGAATAGGGTTTTTTCCCCAATGTATTTTTATCAGGTTAGCCTTCTAACATCTACGTTCGATGTGTTGTTTATGGTTGTCGGGAACCAAAATTTATGTTTACGAAACCTGGTTGGACGCCGATGATTGCATTTCCACTTCGACTCTATGATGGTCACTTTCCATGTATTCTTTGTTAATGTATGGCATTTTGTTAAAACAAGATTCTCGGAACTTAAAAACTGCAACACACCAAGTGATGAAAAATGCAGCAAACAGCACTGAACACGTTATGATAATAGCTTGAGTATCCATGATGTTCGCCAATGAGCTTCACTGAATTTTATATCGGGTAAAGTGGAGAATCACGGTGTTCACTGTAGACTAAAGCAAGTCTTGAGGTCGTTTCTTTTGACGATGCAACGTTCATGAAAAAAATAAAATTACACGTTTTCAGTAAAATGGAGGAAAAGGCCTTTGAAAAAACAACACATGACATGCAGCTGATGGGAGCTGATGCGTTTGCTTGCCTGAATCAAGGTCGGGCGCCATTAAAAATGGATGGTCAGCTTCCTATGAACGGCCGAGTGTTTTCACGAGAACAGATTAAATACCTTGTATTTACTTCTATCTGAAGAGCATCCAGTTATTCTTGTAGGATAATATATTGGTTTGCAGTTGCAGTTTAAAGACACGAGTTTCGACAAAAGAATCCTTGCATCTTGTTATTCCCTTGGAAAACTGTCTTCATAGACAGACAGGAATCAGGCCACCAACTTGTCAAACCATTTGTCCAATCAGAGCAAGTATTTCTGAAGCATCAGTCGACAAACATCGAGAAGAACAATTTGGGGCGGACCATCCTACTTGTAAGGGGACTTAAAGTATAGTAACGAAATCATGTCGCAAGATTGGAAGCGTCTTGAATACTTCCTCTTGACATTACCAGCTGACTTGTGTGTTGTTGTTTTTTTCGGAACATCAGAAAAAGAAGGCCGACCTTGGATCAAGTTTTTTTAATGAGTTATGTAAAAAATGCTTTCAATTAAAATAACATTACAAAAATGCGACATGCTCAAGCTGTTTTCCACGAGATCTTGCAACTCATCGTTACTAGAATCTATCAACAAAACTTTTACATTCGCAGAATACATTTTTAAGAATTCTCAAGTTTGCAAATGTCGATTGTCCTACAGCCGACCAAATATCGGTCGCCAATCTATGAACAAAAGATATATTCAAATTAGACTCTTGAGATAACCTTAAATTCCCTAGGATATAAATACCTTTAATTTGACCCTTAATATCACTGTCATCTTATCAGTAGTGTGTTTTTTAGCTACCCTTTAATTAAGACAATCTTAATAAAAAATTCATTCTTAGAATTTTATTATGAAAGATGAAATAAATAAAGGGGTTCATCACACGAGTAAGCTGAGTTTTTGTCTTTACAAGTACTGAGTTTATAGTTTACGTGTACCACCTTCTTGCCCTAATTGACCTTTAAAAGTTGTTTATATGTAGGATTGAAAATAGCATTAAGACACTCTAGAAATGCGATCTAGAAATGAGAATTTTCTTCGCGTTTTGGAAACGGCCAATGGAAATGAAATTATAGATACTGTTGATAAAATGTTTTGTTGCATCAGGGATCATAAAAGGACTCAGCAGTCACTTTATGATCCATCGTTGCATTAAAGAGTAAAGAAGAGAAGAGAAGAGAAGGGAAGGGAAGGGAAGGGAAGGGAAGAGAAGAGAAGA